TAATGTAAGTGTGAAGAGACACATGCAGCAACCCTATCCCAGGAATATTATGATTACCATGGAGTCAGAGCACTCATGAATGAAAGTTTGGGTCAAACCACTAAGTAAGCTACTAAGACCTTCAAAGATGATAGCTGAGGGGTAGAGAAGGAGAGAGAGACAATGAGTATTAAGATATAGCCCTGTGACCATCTGCAGTGACAGGGGCTATATATTTTTTAATTAACTACTGCCTTCTAAGATTCCTCTCAGAAAGAGAGGCCCTTGAGAATCCTACAAGAAGCGCTTCTCCAACATGTGTAGAGAAGCGAATCTGGAGCAGAGAGTAGGTGGGGATAGGTAGTGACAAGAGCCATGAAAATGTACTGCTGACACATCCTGCTTCAGAAAGCATAAATGATAGAAGACCCCAGATAATACACTGTGAATTTACAACCCCATTCCTGCCAAGGCCACACTTCCTACGGGCTACTACCAACTAATTACTAATTAGGGCAGAAATATTCATGCCCTCTAATGGGAAATTTTGTCTCAAGGATTCTCCATACACTTGACTGAAACCCTCATAGTTGTACTAAAGGCTGAGATTTCATTTCTTATTCGGCCCTTTTCCCTTTCCGCCTTCCTTCAGAGGTGTAACATTGCACGAATTTGATGGTTCTCCCTGCCTCCTCTGGCTGCTTGCTTGTATTCCTTCCTCCAGTATATCTTGCAAGTCTAACCCTGCCTTGTCTTCTGCTTCTTAGATGAAATGAACTAACACTATGTGATCTCTTATAGATGGGAAATGCTTAGGGCTAGTCTCATGTTCTCACTAAGTTCTGAATGTATTCCATGTTCTGGATTGAAATGCAGGAATTTAAAAGCAAAACAGAACAGAGTTTGCTGAACTGCAGAGAAGATACTTGTGTTCTAGACCTGCAAATCAGCTGGAATTTCAGGACAAGTAACAGAAGAGGTAGAAATATGCAAAGCAGTAGCCCCAGAATTCTACATGTGGTTTCCCACACATTTCAGCATGAGGACAGAACTGTGCATGTACTCAGGGGGTCTTAAAAAGACCCAACAGAAGGTAATTAACTGCTGCAGGATAAGACCTAACGGAGATACCAGAGGTCATGTGAGGGTGAGAGATTTTGGAGTTATAACACATCCAAGGCTTCCTATAATAAATTATCTATCCCCACTAGCTGCTCTACAATAAAAAGAAAGAAGACATGCAAAACATGTAACCCCACAGTTAAGCAAAAAGGGCACATAGAAACACAGCCCAGTATAAGCCAGATACAGAAATTATCAAAAAGAATTTAAAACAGTTAAAGCAAATATGACAAAGGTATTACAGAGAAAATTGGACATGATGAAGGAGCAGATGGGGACTCTGAGAACTGCTATGAAAATCTATAAAAGTGAACCAAATGGAAACACAAATATACAAACAAATATCTGAAATGAAAAATTTAATGAGCAAGCTTAGTGGGAGGTTAGATATAGCATGAGAAAATGTTAGTGAATTTGAACACAGTCCAATAGAAATGATCAAACCTAAAGAATAAAGAGGAAAAAAAAGTTGGGAGAAAAATATAAAACAGGCTCGGTGGCCAGTGTTAAAATAGCAATTGATATGATACATGTCATTAGTGTTTCAGAGGAGAGGAAAGAAGAAAATGGGTCAGAAAAAGAGTTCAGTTGAAGAATGATGGCCCAAACTTTGCTAAACTATGTGAAAAACGTCAGCCTATGATCCAGAAAGCTTGTTAAACAACTCCTACATACATAATAATCAGGCAGCTGGAAATTAAAGATAAGAAACAAAAGGCTGGAGAAAGATTAAAAGACACATACTTATGTAGGAACAAATATAGGAATCACAGCTGCCTTCTCATTAAAAAGATAGAGAGAGAGGGAAATAAATACAATGAAATAACATCTGTAAAGTGCTGGAACAAGAACAATAAATATTATCCCATAGGTGTTCTATATCAAGCAAAAGTGTCCTTCCAAAAGTTGGGTGAAAAGAACATGTTCCCAGCAGACCTGAATTACAGAGGATATTAATGGAAGTGTGTAGGTAGAAGAAAAACAAAGCCACATGGAAATTCATATTTGCATAAAATACTAAATAAAGAGGATGGTAAACATATGGATAAATATAAACAAATATTTTCAGTTTGTACTATCTTAAAATTTTTAAATGTCTACCAATTGAAGCAAAAACAATAACAGTGTATTGTGTGGTTTATTATATATTCAAAGGGACACTATATGACAAAAGCACAGTGGTAATAAATAGAAGTATATACTTATAATTTTCTTACATTTTAATGAACTGTCATAATATGCTTTATGAATGAACATTTCTAACTCTTAATCCTCTTCATGGAGATAAAAAGTACAATATAGGAAATATACTCTATAATATTATAATAATGTGACTATACTTATCAGGGTGAGCACTGAGTAATGTATAGAATTGTCAAATCATTATGTTGTATACCTGAGACTAGTTTAATATTGTATGCAAACTGTACTTCAAAAAATGAACATTCTAACATGCATAGCAACCATTCTATGAAAGTAATAAATAGAAATATGTCTAAATATATAAATAAAATGAAATGGTAAAAATGTTGGAATAATCTAAAAGAGGGTGGGAAAGACAGGAAAGAAAGAAAAGAAACACAATAATTAATCAAGTAGAAAAGTAATATCAAATTAATATACCTAAACCAAAGTGTATTCAAAATTGGTTAAAATTAAACAGACTTTTAAAAAATTAGACTAAAAACTCTAAATGAAATGAAAAATTATAAAATTTGATTTAAAAAATATCAAGGCTTAATTATAGGCTATCTATAATTTCTCCTTAAATATAAAGGCAAAGATAAGTTGAAAGCAAAAGAAGAAAAAGGGTAGAATTTACACAAAGGATACAAGAGTGCTGATGCATAGGGGCATTTGTACCCCAATGTTTATAGCAGCACTCTCAACAATAGCTGAATTATGGAAAGAGCCTAAATGTCCATCAATTGATGAATGGATAAAGAAGTTGTAGTTTACATATACAATGGAATACTACTTGGCAATGAGAAAGAATGAAATATGGCCTTTTGTAGCAACGTGGATGGAGTTGGAGAGTGTTATGCTAAGTGAAATAAGTCATACAAAAAAGACAGATACCATATGTTTTCACTCTTATGTGGATCCTGAGAAACTTAACAGAAGACCATGGAGGAGGGGAAGGGGAAAAAGAAAGTTACAGAGAGGGAAGGAGGCGAACCATAAGAGACTCTTAAAAATTGAGAACAAATTCAGGTTTGATGGAGGGTAGGAGGGAGGGGAATGTGGGTGATGGGCATTGAGGAGGACACCTGTTGGGATAAGCACTGGGTATTGTATGGAAACCAATTTGACAATAAATTTCATATTAAAAAAAAGGAAGAAAAGGTATATGATAATGCAAATTATCAATAAACAAAATATTGAAAACTCTCAAAACGAAGTCATGAAAGAGAAGCTACTAATGGTTTTATATAACCATTCCATGGAGCTTAAGAATAGGATAAACTCATCTACAGTGAGATAAATGATAAAGAATCATTGCATATGGTAGGCAGAGAAAGTAAAAAAGTACAGAAGGCGTTTCTGAGCTGATGGGAATGATCTATGCTTGGACCAGAGTGCCAGTCATAACTTATGGATTTTACCATACTCATCAAATTGCCCCCTTAAGAAGAGTACATTTCAATGAATGTAAATTATATCAATAAAATTAAAATGACTCTCCCCACAGTCCACATTAGACAATGAGAAAGAGTAAACTCATTGTTATGCTTTTGTGAACACCTCTATTCAGCTAATTGTTCCTTTGTTTACTTCTTTCTCCCCTGATCAGATATTTTGGGTTGTTGGCTTGATATTTCAGAGTTTTTACATCTGCCTTTCAAATGTAAACATTATTAACTTATTGAGGTGATATAATTAAGGGAAAACTGTCTCCAAGATTGAGATTCAGGAATATGTGTGTGTCATGTTTGTTCTCTGGAATTATAGTGGAGTACACCCTCTAAATTTTTAGAGTGGAGTTAGTAATGGTTGCCTCCTGAGAGAATTTTTAAAATTAAAGAGCAGAGACACAGTTGTTATATGAAGAAGACCCGATAGCTACATAGCCACGAAGACATAAATGTAACCTGACTATGGATTAATAATACTAAAGAATAAATATGCCAATCATAAAGGGTAAAGAGTAAACCAGAAACAGTACAGAAAAGAAACCTGAGCTATAAGTTTGGCAGCTCCTACCCAATCACAGTCCTATGGAAAGAGAGCTTTGGCCATCAGGCTTCAAATACATTTAGTTCATTGGCAAAACCATTCCTAGGCTGAGATGAATAAAATAAGCTATTACCTATTAATAATGTGAGCCTGCCCTTTGACACATGGAACATCATCATATATTTGAGTCAGTAAATTTGGTGGTCAGACACTGGATCATGAAAGTTTTACCATAGAATTGCTATTATGTGAGGGTTTTAGGAATATGGACTAGTTAACTTTTCTAACAGTACTATTCCCATTGCTTCACCTGTTTTTATTTTCTATGATTTTTACAGAAAGATTCTTGACATTTATTCTTTCTTTAAATCTCCTCTCCCTTTGGACCCTGCAGACTGTCAGCATTTGGATTTCTATCCGTGGCAGATAACATGTCAATCTGCCCAGTACAGATTTATCTCCTAATGATTATTTTCCTAACGGATCTATTATAACGTTTTATCTTGTGTTAAGATCTCAGTGCTACATTCCAGTGGTAGGATTTATTTTAGGTGCTAAATTCTTGCTTTTTTTTTTTCCTGGTAAGGGCCTTACCTTGCCTAATTTATGAACATGGGGCACACAGAGACCTCCTGAGGATATGCCATGGTACTAGCTCATTGATTTGGGGCTTGCCTACAGTACAAGCTTTAGCCAAAGGAATGTGAGGGAACATAACATACAGAGACTTTAGGAGGCATCAAGAGTTCTTCTTTTTTGGATGTCCCAAATAAGGCACACTTTTTGAGGCTGGAATCTGGAATGAGAAGACATGTAGCAGAGCCATAGAAGTTGACCACAGCCACTGACATCTATTATGAAAAAGAAATAAGTGTGTGTTATAGTAAACCACTGTGATTTGGGGAGGGTCACTTGTTATTAATAAAGCTAACTAGTAAAATTCATATACTGGATTAGGAGATAATCAAAATGAAATACTGTAACAGCAAACTTGAATTGCTAATTTGAAGCTATTTTAGAGGTTGTGTCAAGTAAGAGTGAAAAATATACTGTTTAAACAAAAATAAAAATAAGATTAAGGTTACTTGAAATTCACATTGATATAAAATAAGAAAAAAATCTTAAATAAGAAGGTATCTGAGATCTAGAGTTACTAAAAAAATATTATTTCTTTGCCTTTTGGTTATAACAATTTAAGATTAAGTAACTAGCTAGTCTTCTCATCACTTCATGATCACTTTTGAGCCTTTGAGGAGAGATCACTCCTTCTCCAGCAAGCACTCACAAGAGAAGTCTATTTTTCTTTGGCATGTCAGGTAAGTCACTGTCAGTAAAGGAAAACTATCCCTTTTGGTTCCCCTTTACATATACAAACAATCTCTCCATTTATGTCATCAGTGTTATCTTCATCGCCTCCTGTTGTCATCTACAGACCACCTATTCACTGTCATTAATTAATGGCCTGCTCAATTTGTGTAATCCACACTTAACTCCTATTATTCTTAGTGACTTCCAATAGTCACACAGACAATTTATCTAAAACCTTAGACTTTCTGCACTTCTTGTTTTTCTCATCTCTAGCAAAATTTGGTTTCACTTCAATTCAATCTCCCATTAGTCTCCCATTCCCGTAATAATTTTGCATCCTGCACCATCATTAACATATTTTCCCCCAAATCCAAGTTGTAAGTAACTCACTCTCTTAGTACTACCTATCACCTTTCCAGCTTACTTTGTCTGGCAGCCCCTTAAATTTAGTATATTGTATTGAAATTTCATCCCACAGGGTTGTAGACTTTATCTTAATGCATCTGTCCTCTTATGTTTTCCCTTCCCTTTTTTCCATATTAGATTATCATCTTAGTTCATCATTATTTTCATTAGTTTTTAAGTACAGTAATTACAAGTCTTATTTTCTCTCCTTCTGCCGTACTTGTTCGCAAAACCTCAGCCCTGGTTGAATTCAAGTATATATTTCTGTTGTCTAAAGCCTGTATAACTCAACTCAGCTGAAAATAGTCATTGTAACCACACTGAGAAGTCTCTGTTTAAATTCATGAGGTCAAGCCTTAAATAGACAAGCAGCACTACCTAAAAGTAATATTACATGTTCTAAATAAGTTTGCTTTCCCAGACTTTGGTATAAATAATTCAGAAATTTGCTTTCAACAAATACCTTATTATACAGTATCTTCCATTTTGCTTAGTTTATTATGCATGATATAATGGCTTCCATTGTATTCTTTATTTTCTGACATTTCTGCCTAGCCATTCACTACTTCTTGCCCTTTGTACTTGCTATTCTCTCAGCCTACAATGCTCTTACCCAGTTCATAGCTCCCTCTTATTCCACAAGTCTCACTTCAAATGTCACCTCCTCAGAGAGCCCTTCTCTGACCATCTTGTTCAAAGAACAGTTCCTTTATTACCCTGTTATATCACCTTGTTGCTCCTTCACAGCACTAATCACAATATGCAATTACCTCATTTTTTTTCTTTTTCTTTCCTTTTGTCATATCTTTCTGCATGTAGAAATTAAACTTCTCAAAAGGAGGAGGAGTTTGTGCTGTATTCTGCTGTATCTTCAGTGCCAAGTATAATGTCTGGCAAATAGTATGTACTCAAGGAATATTTTTTGTCTAATGAGTAAATGAGTATGACAGAAGCAAAATATCCCACCCCAAAATATACTACTTTGACATATTATTTTAAATTAAAGTTATTTAAAAAACAGCGGGTATAAGAAGGACACTCTAAGCTCCTTTGTTCAGCTGAAAGCAAGAAACAAAAGGTCCCCTACCTGTATCAGGAGTTAGAAGGCAACTTTATCATCAGAGTTAGGGACAGCAAGGAATATTCCAAGCTCAAAATTCTTTGTGTTGCCAATTCATCGCAAATTTATTTTTTCATTGCCTAAAAGGTATAAAAGGTTCCAGCTTTAGTAATTTCTTTTAGCCTCATATATTTATGAATATATATATATATATATATATATATATATAATTAAATTTGTTTTTCTCCCATTAATCTATCATAGGTCTTTAATTATTAGACCAGTCAAAGAACCTAGAAGGGAAGAAAAGGTTTTTTTCCTCTACAAATCAATACCCTATACAAATCACTTCATAACACATTAACTGTTTTTTTTAATATGTAAAGTAAGATGATAATAGTAATAAATGGCTTTCAAAGTCTCCTGTGAGCTTCTGGTTCCCTCTTTAACCCCTTACCTATAGGTTGGGAATAAGTGTACCATGAAATTAAGTGAGTAGTTGAATTTACTCATTTGAAGTGTGTTTTTACATGTGAGCTACCATTTGTCATCAGAGAACCCATGATATAAGGCTAGTTCTGAGGCTTCCTATGGGTAAATTCATCTTCAGAGGGATTTCAACATCCATGGATAAGAATCACCAACTTCCCAAACACCTCTGCTCACCTCAACAGACATATGACAAGTGTCTATAATACCAAGGACACACATTCAAAATCTTCATGGGTTCTAGGTTAGTCCCGAAAGGAATTCTACACACCAGAAATGTTATTTAAAAAAATGTATAATAATCCATTCACCCCTGAGAATTCCCTATAAGTTCACTTCTCTGTCAAAAAAAATTATAAGTGAATGAATCCAATCTACTTTCTTCATATCTCCATCTAACACATGCAGTCAAAGGTAGTTTTGCATTCAGGTCATACAAGAGGTGTAAAATGAGGTACAGGTCAGATGTGAATTAGACTCATTATTATTTCTTTATTCCCACAGGCTCCCTCCAATAAATATGTATTGATTCATTCTCCCAGAACAACTTTTTCCTGCTGACAGAGTAGGCAGGCATCCGTAGACTCAGCAATCAAAATTTTAGCTCATAAAGGCTTTGTTTATCAAAATTATCAATATTTCAATCCATTAAACAGGTAAATCATAAAATGTGTATCCTTTAACAGAATTATTTACTTGAAGTATTACAAATTCAAATATATGTAGGGACCAAGTAGATAAATGAATAAAAAAATCTGGAATAAAATAAATTAAAGGGAGAGATGAAACTACCTAACTCTACTTAATTGTTAGTACCAGAGTAGGTGAGTTTGGTATTAACAGGTTTTATGGTATTTTTGAAAAAAAATTTAAAATATTGGTGACTCGCTGTGTGTATGTGTATTTTATTTAAAAAAAAATTAAGTTTATTTATTTATTTTGAGAAAGAGAGAGAAAGTAAAAGCTGGGAAGGGCCAAAGAAAGAGGGAGAGAGAGAGAATCCCAAGCAGGCTCTACTCTGACAGCACAGAGCCCGACACAGGGCTCAAACCCACAAACCGTGAGATGATGATCTGAGCCAAGACCAAGAGTCAGATGCTTAACCAACTGAGCCACCCAGGAGCCCTTGTGTGTGTTTAATTTTAATCCATTTTGCAAGAAAACAAACGTCTTCTGTGGGCTTTACCAGTTAATAATGCTTACCAGTTTATCAGTTAACAATGACCTCAATAGTATTTTTCGTTAGAATCTTCAAATAATAAACATTAATGAATCATTTAAAATGACTGCTTCACAAATTTCAATTTACATAGGACTGTTCCATGTTATAATTATGTACACTGAAACAATATTTTCCAGAGATACTCATTGTATACTATTATAACTATAAAAGCAATTACAGAGATGTGTATGTATGTGTGTGTATGTGTATATATACACATATACTAATAATTTTTCAACCTTAAACAATTTATACTGCTTTTTCTCCTTTGCTTTTATTATGGTGAATTTAAAATTATATAAAAGGAAGGTGAGTTGCATTCAAGAAGAACTAAGTGGGTAATTGCACTGGGAAATATAAGAAAAGAAAGATAAGACAGGAGGAAGAAATTCTATCTAAATCAGATACAAGAGAGGCATTTATAAAGTTCACAAAAATTAAAGAAATTATAACCTTAAACAACAAACTCTCTAAATAGCAACATAGAAAATTATCTAGTAAGTGATCACTATTCAATGGAAAAGCAGTTTGGGGTAGTATTTAGCCTGATAGTTACTCTCTTCTTACCATTCAGTTCCTCCCCTCACCACTGGGAGAACACACAAAAAAATATTGCCATGGTATCATGTAGATCAACAAAGATTCCCCAAAACATGTGTAGGATAGTGTGTCTGTTTATTTTGACATTTCATGGGTCTGTGCAATACAAAAAAGTAGCAAGAGCTAGTATTATAGAACTAAAGGGGTTAAGAGTCTATAAACAATTAAAATGTTGGTTGTGAGCAAGTGAAATACCCATTCCAAACTGGGGTATATTTGACTAGTAGCAGTTAAAAGATGTTTTACAAAACATTGCAAATGAATATTATAAATTAAAGAATATTTGACTAATAGTACTTAAGAATTGTATCTTCTAAGGACATTCACATTTAAATAGAGATCAAGTACTAAATGCAAAGGATAATAAAGTACCATGGGTTAGATAATGGGGAAGAACTGAGAATGGTTATGATGGGATTTATCCTGTTCCAGAAATTATACTAGATTCAAAATTGTATCTTGCATTTAAAGTCAAGGTCACCCTTCTGTTGTAAGCTTATTATATTTGATTATTAAGGATGAAAACAAAAGTAACAGAAGGCTGATGAATATACATATACAAAAAAAATCTGTGTAGCTTTTATGGATATTTACATAGGCAAAATAAATTAATTTAGAATAATTCTTTAAACTAGATATCATTCCCCCCCCCCAAATAAAAGAGATTGGGCTGTCTAGTGGTGAAAAGCTGACTTTTCTCATTAATACGCTTCTTGCTTTTCCTGATCATTGATTTATAAGTAAAAGGCTTTATATGAACAATTCTTAGTGTATTTTAAGATCATTAACAAGAACTTCAACCAGCCCATCTGTGACGATTTTATGTACCAACTTGATTAGGCCATGGTACCCATGGTACTCGTTTTTTGGTCAAAAACTGGTCTAGATCTTTTATGTTACCATGAATGAAGGTGTTTTTGTTTGTTTGTTTATTTGTTTGTTTTTTAGCAACATTTAAATCAGTATAAGTAAAGCAGATTATCCTCCATAATATGGGTGGTCTTCATCCAATAAACTGAAGGCTTTAAGAAAAAACAGACTGAGTTTCCCCAAGCAAAAGGGATGTCTGCCTTCACATGTCTTCAAACTTTAGCTGCAGCATCAACTCTTCCCTCTTCCCAAGTCTCAAGACTACCAGCTTACTCTATAGATTTGGGAATTGCCAGCCTCCACCATCACATGATCAATTCCTTAAAATAATCTCTTTCTCCCAGTATAGACACACGTGTTATTGGTTCTGTTTCTCTGGAGATTATTGACTAATCCACCAATATTGCCATTATTAAAATGTCATGGGTTCTAATAGCAAGAAATAATTGGAATTTGAGATGAAAAAAACAAACATTCAGAAATATGTCAAATTCTGAATCAAAGAGTGAAAAAAGAAATGAACCAAGGAAGAAGTAAATAAATGAAGAGATAATCCATGTTCACAGAAAGGAAGACTCAATATTGTCAAGATGTCAATTCTTCCCAACTTGCTCTCCAGATTCGATCCAATTCCAATCAAAATCTTGGCAAATTAGTTTGAGGATACTGACAGAGTGATTCTAAAATTTATTTGGAGAGAGAAAAGACTCACAGTATTAGAGGACAACAAAGACAGAGGATTGACATTTTGAGACTTCAAAACTTATTATATAGCTACAATAATCAAGACAATGTGAAACTGGTGAAAGTATAGACTAATAGATCAGTGCAACAGATAGAGTGCTCAGAAATAGACACATGCAAGTATAGTCAACTGATCTTTGAGAAAGGAGCAAAGATACCACAGTGCAGAAAAGATGGTCTTTTCAGCAAAGAGTGCTGAAACAACTAGACATCCACATGCAAAAAAAAAAAAAAAAAAAAATCTAGACATATACCCTACACTCTTCACAAAACTTGACTCAGAAGTTAACAGGCCTAAAATAAAATGGTAAACTATAAAATTCCAGAGGATAAAACATGAAAAAATCTAGATGACCTTGAGTCTGATGAAGACTTTTTAGATCAATGTAGGAAATCATCGATAAAATGGACTTAATCAAAATTTAAAATTTCCTCTCTATGAAAGACACTGTTGAGATAATGAGAAACAAGCCATGAAGTGGAAGAAAATATTTGCAAAAAAATATGTGATAAAGGACAGTTATCCAAAAAATACAAAGAACTTTTAAATTAAGCAGTAAGAACAACCCAATTTTAAAATGGACAAAAGATCTGAACAGACATCTCACCAAAGAATATATACAGATGGAAAATGGACATATGAAAAGATGTTTCACATCATACCTCATCAAGAAAATACAAATTAAAACAATAATGAGATACCACTATATACCTATTAGGATGCCCCAAATCCAAAAAAAAAAAAAAAAAAAAATAAAAAAAAAAAAAACAAAAAACAATAATGAGATACCACTATATACCTATTAGGATGCCCCAAATCCAAAAAAAAAAACAGACAAACAAAAAACCTGAAAATACTAAATGCTGGCGAAGATGTTGAGCAACACAAAAACACAAACTCTCATTCCTTGCTGGTGGGATGGAAGATAGTACAGCCACTTGGAAGACAATTCAGCACTAAGAACAAGTTTCTTATAAAGTGAACCATAGTCTTACCATCTATCTTATCAGCAACTGTACTCTTTGGTATTTACTCAAACTGCACATGGATGTTTATAGCAACTTTATTCATGATTTCACAAACTTGGAAACAACCGACATGTCCTCCAGCAGGTATTTAAGTAAATAAACTGTGATATACCCAAACAGTGGAATTTTACTGTTAAAAAACAAAAACAAAAACAAAAACAAAAAAAAAAACCTTTCAAGCCATGAAAAAAATATGAAGGAATCTTTAAAGAATATCATTAAGTGAATGAAACCAATATGAAAGGGCTTTCTGTATAATTCCAACTATATGACTTGTAGAAAAGGCAAAACTATGTACACAGTAAAAATCAGTGGTTGCCTGGGGCTGGGGGAGCAGGCATGAATAGCCAGGGCACAGAGGATCTTTAGGGCAGTGAAAACTGTATGATACTATAATGGTGGATACAGGTCATTATACATAATACATCGGTAAAAGCCCATGGAACGTACAAGACCAAGAGTGAACTCTAATGTAAACTACGGAGTCTGGATGACAATGATGTCAGTGTAGTTTCATTGATTTTAACCAATGTACTGCTCTGGTGTGGGACGTTAATAGTGGAGGAAGTTGTGCATATTTGGAGGGGAGGGCATATGAGAAGTCTCTGTACTTTCTGGTCAACAGTGTTGTAAACCTAAAACTACTCTAAAAAATATCTGATTGAAGCATGCCATAGGCTATTATACTATGATACTGCATGTATTTACCCATTTCTTTCCAGCTAAAGCAGAGGGCACAGCCAGCAATTAAAACATGATTCACATTAAGTTAAAGGATAAAGTAGCATTTTAAAACCAGCTGCCATTACTTGCATTATTTATTCATCAGGTGCTGTGTAATTGCAGAATTGTGCTGAATAAAGACAAATGTGTTCTCTTCATTGAAGAACTTACAGTCCAAAGATAGAAGGGAAATTTAGAAACATCTTTAATGTCTCAGGATCATCAAATGGGGCATGCTAATGGAAGGAGTTGAGTCCAAAAGACTCTTATGTGGATAAGACTTCTTACTCAATATTTATGTTTATGGTTCTTGTACCTAATAGCATATTGAGAAGAATCAGACTATCCTCAGTTTGGCCTAAGTGTTGGCCTATGTGTTTTTTTTTTTTTAACCTGGTAAATTGTTATGGATGTATATTTCATAAATCTAATCATATTAAACAAATGACACTAAATTACACTCTAAAACCAAAATTGTTCAACTATGGGAAAGAGGAATCTCTTGAGTGTCACTAAAACTATTATCAGTCATTCAGAAGTGTTCACCTCAATATAAAAGGTGTTATGCTTAATGAATACAGAAATAGCAGCATTATACAACTGGAGAGTTCTTTTTTTTTCCTCCTCTCAATGTTTACATTTTCTTATGTGTTCCAGTAACTAGTTCTTTGTGTTCTTTTGTTTCACTCTTGGTGGGTTTACTTTGTTTTGTTTGGGCCAAACGAACAGTTTCCCCTAATTTAACTTGAGGCATAACACATAAATTAAACCCACTTTCCTCTTGAAGATATTCTTGTTGCAACTTCCCTATTAGAGAAGACAGTGTGATAATATGAAGCTATAGAATATTACGATCACACTAAAACCTTATGTCACTATTCTCCTTTCCCACTCCGTGTTCTAACAGTACTGAACTACTTCAAAGTTCCCCAAAGTACTGGCATTTTATTCTCTGAAGTGCACAAAATCTTGCTTTGTTTGCAGTGTTGTATCCTCCCTCTGCCTGGCTTGCCCTGGTAGATGTGCAAACCCCACTTTATGTGTGCCCTCTTCCAGGAAGCTCACTTTCCTTGCTCCCAACAACTCCATCCACTCCCAACCACTCCATCTGCTGCTCCCCTGCAGCTTACCCAGATAGGAGATACTTAAAATGCTGGCATTAGTCCATGGTGCCACATGGCAACTTAATTCTTTTACAATCTGACCTCCTCTGAGTGAATGAATTCCCTCCCTCCTTAGATGCTATATTCTATTCAACTGTGTCCCCACGTCCTCACAGATTTCCTGGACCATATTAATTGATCCAAAATATGTTGGACAAATTTTATTAAGTGATGCATATTACTCCATTCCCATCAGCAAGAGTTTTGAGTCCAAAACATATTTGTTTACTGTTTAGAAACCAAATGTTAACCTAAAGAATTTAATTAATTTAACCTATAGAATCCTAACCATGCACTGCCCACTCCCTCTCTGCCCCAATTCCCTTTTAACTTAAATAAGAAGCTGTTTTATTCTTGCAGTTTCTGCTAGTTGAGAAGTCAGTGTGATAGAGATGCTAGCGGGATTTGCCTAGACATCAATAAACTCCAAAGGCTCCCGGCGGGCCACTTGTAGTGTCAATAAAGACTCATAATTACTTGCTCCTTTGAGCATTTTAGACCCAACCCCTTAGTTCACTCTGCTGCGAATAAGAGGCTTGAGAACCGAGAGGCTCTTAACTTCTTAAACCTTAGGCGAAGAATGGCAAACATTGGCAGGTACCTCAGAATTTTAAGCAAAGGTGCTGGCTGCTATAGTTGTTATTTTAAGCTGCTAGGGGACTAGTAACTCAGAACTCCCCTTCTTGCTCAGCTCCCCCCAAGGACTGGTGGTGGGCCTCACCATTTCCGGGCTGGGGGAGGTATAAGCCCCAGGGGCCAAGAGTGGAAGGCAGCTGGAGCCACTGCACAACCCTAAGGAACAAGTGATTCAATTGAGAGAGGCCGTGGGGTGGGGAGAGGAGAAAGCGGAGAACTTGGAACCTTTTCTTACAGATGGGGTAAATCCTGGCTTCCGGGCAAGATCTCACACTAGGGGTGCCTCCCGACCCATCCATCCCACTAGCCATGAGGCAAAACCAAACCAAGGCATGGATATAACTAGACCAGCAAGCTTCTCTCTCTTGGTGAGGGCGAGGCCAAAGAACAGTGAAGGAAGTACTCAGACTCGCGGTTAACTAGGACTCCAAAGTGCCCCTTCCACACAATACAACAGAAGTAAGGAAAACAATAGGAGGGAGGAGAGAGTGTAAATCAGAGGCTAAACACACATCACTGAAATTTTTGAGGAAGAACGTGCCCTTCCTTCTTTCCTGTCTTCCTATCCTCCTACTTTTCCCCCTTCTTTCTCCTATGTCTGGGTGTACTTGCATTTAAAGGATGTCCTTGGTGGCTGCTTTTTCGCAAAATTCTGTTTCTCCGCAGTGAAGTTTAAGGCGGATTGGAGTTTCCTTGACTCCTGCGTGAGGAGTTTCCAAATGGCAGTGAAAAAGCGTCACATAAATATCCATAAAGCGCTTAATGACACCTCTGTCATCTGTTTCCTTCAAGATCCTAAATCGGGGTGGTCATCCACCACCCACCCTGAGTGGGCGATCGGCTAATTGGTTCATGTGTGTATGGGTACTTTCCAGATCGAGCTGTGCACCGAATACTAAACGTCCTCCTCCTCCTTCCCCCTCCCTTCCTCGATTCACTCTTCTCGGGAGGGCGTGTGTATGCGCGTTCGCGTGTGTGTGTCCGCGTGTGTATGTTTAGGAAAGGCTCTTGGATGAAGCTACCCCCTTGCAACCCACTCCCCCCCGCCCTGCTCAGGACGAAGCATCTCTCAAGCAAGATGCGTCTCTAATCTGTCCCCGGCTGAGGTGTCCTCTCCCCGCTGATAAGGACAGACTATCTCTGCGCTCGTCCAGGGAGCTGATACGTAGGTTTCCCAGGAGGGCGACCCGACTTCCTTCTGGCACGCTGCGTTCTCCCCGGGTTGTGTGACTTGCTGTTGCTTGCGTGCGCGGGTGTGTGTGTGTGTGTGTGTGTGTGTGTGTGTGTGTGTGTGTGTATGTGCGCGCGTACACGGCTGTGAGCTTGTGAGCTTCCTCTCCCGGCACTGTGCAGGCAGCGCCGGCGACGTTACTCTCCAAGCCGCCGACAGCAACGCGAGGCAACCGCAGCCTCCGCCCCCTCAGTCTGGTGATTGGCTGGTTTTGCTCATCATTTCCCTGCTAGGAAAAGGGAAGGGCCAGTGACGCCCCCGAACCCAGCTGCAGAAGCGGCCGCCACCTCCGATGCACAAGGTGTCTCATCTGAGAAGAAACCTGAGCCCCAGGGAGGAGGCGCGGAGCGACCGGGGCAGGGCTGGCGCGAACCAGGCGGCAGAGCGCTGGGCAGCGCTCAAGGACCAGCGGGAGCTCGGCCGCGGAGGACCCTTGCGACCCGCTCCTGAGATCCCGGCTCCACACTCTCTTCGAATTTTACAGATTTCCCCCGGCGACTGTATCTCCCCAAAACGGAGCCTTTATCCCAAGAGAAGGTGAGGGAGCTGGGGCAACCAGGACTTTCCCGGGCACCCAAGATGCGCTCCATTAGGAAGAGGTGGACGATCTGCACGATAAGTCTGCTCCTGATCTTTTATAAGACAAAAGAAATAGCAAGAACTGAGGAGCACCAGGAGACGCAACTCATCGGGTAAATGCAAAGCTTCATTTCAGGATATAATAATAATAATAATAATAATAATAATAATAATAATAAAGTCAAGCCATAAATGAAACGTGAATATAGACGGGAGAGTGAGGGTTGGGAGAGTGTGTGTGTTCATAATGAGCTTTTGTGCGTTTAGTCTCATGAATTAAATAACAAAGGCTGTTGTTGAGGTGTGTGTGCTTTTCCCCGGCGTGCTCTCAGTAGGAGTTCAACTTACCCTGTGTGGTGATGGTGGCAGTTGTGTTCGCGCCGGGGCTCGCACGCCCAAGGAGAAGTCACTGCAGAAGTGTCAACAAAGAACGTGTGCCTTTGTCCTTTCAATCCCTGGGCAGAACTCAGGAGAGGTGTCTTTATTTCCCATGTGGCTGTCCTTCTTTTTCTGCCCATCACTCTAAGGAGATACTGGAGAGAGCCTGGCTTCCTCAAAGACTGAAGTTAAAGCCCAGAAAGCAGGAGACACACTGATTCTTTACTCTTCTTTTCGTTGGGTAGATCTGTGTATCGTTTGAATTAGAAACTCCAGTACAACCAAGAATTCTTCCCTATTTGCTCTTCTGTGGCAAAACGCATGGGCGTCATGGTTACAGTTTTAGCAACTGGGTACTGTAGATTCTCACAGACTATATTTCTGCTATTTCTTTCGTTTGTCTAAATGAGTTCAGAAGCTTCCCCCACCCCAGTAAGTTCTCTAAATATCACACTTCCTTCCTCCCTTCCCCTGGCTTCTGTTTCTTTGAAGTTTACCCAGGAGGTGGCTGCAACTTTGTGTTGCTTACATATCTTGGAAGCGTTTTCTGAGGATGTGAACCTGGTTGTCAACTCTGTTCAAAGTCCTGTTTCGGAAATCCTCCCTTATCCGGAGGCGTCCGCTATCGGAAACTCCACGCTGGCAGAGATGCCAGCCTGATTTTTATGTTCCCTGACAGTTATTAAAACGAAGATAGAGTCTTTGCGTGTGTGTGCGTGTGTGTGTGTGTGTGTGTGTGTGTGTGGACTGCTAAAAGGTGCACGCACGCGCGCGCGCACACACACACACACACACACACAAACTTCATGCACTCCATTTAATATTCCTGCTCCTCCCTAAGTAATGAGTGTTTAAGTGAGCAAGATGCAGGCTTATACTTACAGAAAGAATCTTCTGTTCGATCGGAAACTAAGATAGCAGAAGTACAGTCCAAAGGGACTGGAAGGGAATGAGAAAGCTGACGGGCTGGATGGTCGTTATGCATCACAAATCTGTAAAAGGTCTATTCTGGGGAAGAGAAGAAAAGCCGAACTATATGAGGTCGTTTACATAGGGAGTGGGTGGGTTGAAAACGCCGCCTAGCTCAATTGTCAGGAAAGCAGGACTTTGGGCGGGGACGTGGGCATCTCGGGCAGACTTGTGCTTCCCAGGCAGACAAAGGGGTCTTAGGGAAGGTGATAAACGGCGCGCGGGGGAGAGGTGGAGAGGCGGAGGCTGGGCGTGGGGGGGTCGAGGCTCTTTGTTCCCTTCCGGGCTGGTGGGCTCCGAACAGACGCGTGAGCCCAGACAAAGCCGCCAAGCCTCGCCAGGACTCTGAGGGTTCAGGCCCTCCGCTCGCTGACGAGCAGGAGGGGGGAGGACGCGTGAGGCGAGAAGAGGCGCCCCGTGCTGCCCAGGCGCCCTCTCCGGGCCTCCCTAAACCGCCGCCAGAATGGGGGAGCGCACCCCGAGTCCCTGCGAAGGAAATGACCGACCTGGGACACTCCACATTTCCCGGGCAGCATTCCTCCTTGGCCCTTTCCTGGGCGCCGCCGGCCAGTGGACACCGCACAGGACGCCGACGAGGGGCAGGGGGCGCAGGTAAGGGCGCCGCGCTTGGGCTAGCCCGACTGGGTTTAGCGGGCCCCCTCTTGGGGCGGAGCTGCGGTCGCTCCCCTGCTGCTCCGAGAAAGCATGAGGCGAGCGCGTGAGTTAATCAAACAGGAAGCGAGGTACGCACCGGTATTCACTCCTCCTCCGCGAGAGCGGCAGCGGGGGTGCAAGAAAGAGTGGGGAGGCAGGGGAAAGCCTTTAATGCAGGAAGCCGGTCTCCTCTTGGGGAAAAAAAAAAAATCACTTTTACGGCTCAGTCGGCAACCGGACTCCTCCTCCTTAATTAAAACCCGCAATTACGGCGGTGCGGGGGCAGGGCTGAGAGGCGGGCGCCGGCGCCGCGCCTGCACTCTTGCCCTGCAGCGTCCCGGCCGCCGCGGCCGCTGCCCTGACGCCCTAGAGTTGGCGCTGCCGGGAGAATGCGGGCACAGCCAGTCCCGCTGAGCGCTCTTGCCCTTCTCCGTCAAGATGAAACGTTCGGTGGAAAAGCTTGTGATACCTAGCTCATGATTTCGTTTTAACTTCCCAACAGTGCTTCTAGTGGAGGAGTTGACTCACCCAACGATCTAATGATCTCTGTGACTCTATTTCTAACCTAAGCCACTTACAGGGTCTATTTTTAAGATGAGTGAACTAGAGTGGAGATTTAGCCCAGAGCCCCGACTGATATTCAAAAGTCAGGTTAACGGGCAGTCTGCCCTTTGGGAGGCACTGCGTGACTTTGAGAGTGGGCAGTACATTCAATTAAGGGCCTTTCGTAATCCTTGTACCTTAGGGAACCACCCCTCACCACCAAGAAAACACCCTCGTATTTAGCTTCCCTGCTACCATTTGCAATAGGCAGACCTTTTCTTTATTACACGCCCCCCTCTCTTACCTGGAGGTCCCATCTGGAGTCAGCGCAGCGTTGTTCTTACATACAATATTGAGCGGTCATTCCATGCAGAAGGAAAGAGAACACCAGCACAACTTTCCTGCCTACCATCCACATTTTCATATCCCCAGAGAAATACTAGAAGCATGGATTTTATAAGGAATTCTTTGAGAATAGGTCAAGTAATTATTGGAAATTTAACCTTTCATGCAAACAAAACATATCAATTGCCTGGTATGATGACTAGTTAGTAAAGTTTAACTCAAAAGGCATGGGGCTATAAAGTGGTTTATTCTTGACGGACATTTTTTTTTTATGGGAAAAATGGCACTTACTTCACAATTGGCCCATGATTTCACTTGCTTTCTGTGATTTGGAGGTATAATTGGAAATGTGTTAACTTAAGGGTCCTACAGGTAAAAACGTGGGTGTGCTCATTTAATGAGATAATGTATTTGAAAGAGTGGCATACACTTTAATATCATACAAATACTTGTTTTGATTGTGACTTCTTAAAATTTCCACATACTGTGTTCCTAGTTGACTGCAAATGACACTAACTTAATTTTCTTATCATCTAGAGATTTCCTTTTGGCCCATGTATGTTAGACTGTCTCACTAAATGATCACCCACCCATATTAATAATGAAACATGATAATATTGACAGTGGAAATAAGCATTCATAGAATATTACCATTGTCTGCAAAGTTGTTTCCAGTTAGTTCTAGGGTAGAACACACTAATAAATCTAGAAACCCAGAATCTGCACTTTACGTGTTTTATTTGGAATTCTACTAAAACCTTAAGCAATAGGTAAGGTAGTACATCTCATCTTTATTTTTAGTTGTTTGATGCTTAGGGAATGAAAACACAAAATTGCCTGCTGTTTTTATTCAGGCTTACGTTTGTGTAAGTTCTTTTCTTTTGAATGACTTTTATAATTTTGTATTAAGGAGGAAATTTAACCTAATCTGTGGGGAGCACATTTACTCCAAAGCCAAGTTATGAGGACTTTTCAGTAGGGGTGAATGAAGGTCTTTCGGGACCTAATCTCAAAAAACAAAAAAAAAAATTAATCATATTTGTCATATACTGCAGAGTTAATAGAATAAGTTGTAGTGATGCCTGGCAACTCATATTTTGAAGAGGAAAATATTTGTAAAAACTGGTGACATAACTAATGATCAGTTTCCGTTACTACTTTCATATAGACGATCTTGTAAGTAGGTTTTTCTTAGCTCAATATAAGCAGGAATACTTTATAATATCTGTTGCTTTATGCTGCATTATTTCCTTAATGTGTTTTGTGATTTTTCTCTTTAGAGTTATATGTTGAATCTTCCTGAACATAGCCCTATGCAAAAGATATTATCAGTGTGCTGTTTAGTAATCATGTTTGATCTGGAATGAAACACTAGTAGAGGGTAGCAACATCCTTCATGCCTTGCATTGAAGGAAAAGCCTTTTTAAGACAGAATACTACCAAGGTCACAAATGAAACATCCCTTGGGACCCATCTAACTTTGTACAAAGAGATTTGCTCCAGAGCCTCAGATTGCACTAAGCCTAGGCTTCTTACACAGAAATTCCATCGACCTCAAGAAGAAGTGGGACTGGTTGTACTATTTTCATTTAAAGTTCTTTCCAGGAATAAAGCTGAATTTTGGCTTATCACCAGTTCAATGAAAACTATTCAAAGAGCAGAGCAATGTGGTTGTATTTCATTAGTATAAAACTGATTTAAACTTTTAAATTACTTTTTTTTTAATCCTACAGGTTCTGAAAAAGACTCCATACAACTAAGTACATCACAGCAATTATTTTGCCATGCAAAATGTACCTTTAGCTACATGTCAATGAAACAATCTTCCACAGATATTTAAAAATGCCTACCCATTTATATATTTTTACTTCTCCTATGAAGGTTTATCGGGGGTAAAAACAATTGTTATAATTATAGTAATCTCTGGTTAGAAAAAGATGATATTAACAAGCCAATTAATGAGAGGAAGAGGGGCAAAAAATCCCTAGCCTTAAAAATGGTGAGAGTTTGTGCCCATATTCTTGAAGGTATACTTCCTAAAGTGTGAAGGTTAACTTCTGTATATACCCATATTCTCATTCAAATACAGTTATTATCGTTAAACATATAACATAAAAATTGACTTCTGGGCCTTTGAGTAGTAAATTGCACCCCATGTTTCCTAGCATCTTTTTAAATTTTTTTAAAGTTTATTTATTTATTTTGAGAGAGACAGAGAGCAAGAGGGGGAGGGGCAAAGATAGAGAATCCCAAGCAGCTCCACACCATCAGCACAGAGCCCAATGTGGACTTAATCCCATGAACTGTGAGATCATGACCTGAGCCAAAACCAAGACTCAGATGCTTAACCAGCTAAGCCACCCAGTCACCCCTATTTCCTAGTATCTTAAATGACCTCTATAAAATGATTATTGTTAGCCATGAATAGGCATGCAAGTGCATCATTTTCATCAGCAGCATAATTTAAAATATTGATTTTTATAGAATTCTAAATTTCACAGGGAGTAGTTGCATGTGATACTTTGAGTTACTTCAGACTGGAACTACATGTTTAAAAAAGAATGCAAACCAAAATACCAAACTATAAGCCTCTAATTACAGAATTCATCTAACAGCTGTTACACAGGCAATGTTTCCATTGATAGTAGGAGAGGATTGCCTACTAATAAATACAGATTTAGACTTTTTGACTGAACAAATAATCGCCTTTTTAACTATATTTTTGAGATTTAAAAAAAAGTAAAAGGTAACATGTAAAGAAATGAATGCAGATACTGAAAGGGCTATACAATAAACAGGTAGCATTTTGTTTCTCTGAGTCTCAGTTTATAGCTAGCTATAAAGTGCCATGAAAATAGTCTTTTGAACAATAAACTGGTTCTGTTTTAACTGTTCTAATGACACAAATACTATCACGGGTATCTGTCACTATCAGCACTACCACCAGCACCTACCGTGCCACATTATGTACTTGCCTGACAATATTGACCGAAAGGGGTGGCACAGTTGTTTTGTGTGTGTGTGTGTGTGTGTGTGTGTGTGTGTGTGTGTGTACGTGTGTGTATAATGCAATAGAAAGTATCAGTAAAAATGGCTAGTGAATAAGTTTTCTTTCTCCTTATTATAATCCCTGTCTCCCTACCACCAACAATTATCAGGAAAGTGTCTCATTGTTGAGATGATTTGAGACTCAATGTAATTTTAGAAATTAACATTAGAAATTCTAAATGTAATTTAGAAAATTAGAAATTAGTAATGCTTTATAAATTACTTTCACATACAGACTCCCACTGTCACAAATTCATTGCATATTAGATAATGTTATTGCAGTTTTCAAGATCAAGCAAGGCCGCTGTGGCCTAGAAAGAGAATATTGTCCAAGGACTTATAGGCTAGCAAGTGAAAGAATCACCAACATGTCCAGATCACCTGGTATTCCAAGGTCTTCTTACTCCAAAAAAAATTTCTTTCCATTGTGTCTATATGCCTTCTGTGGAAACAAAATTACAATCTTGAGAGTCACAATTATACAGATGCAGGAGAATTGGCCAAACTTCCTGTTTCTATTGTCTAAACACAACAGGGAGGGGTGACAGAGTTTGAAACAATTTTTTTTTCTTTAAACACCACAAAAGCCTTTATAGGAAAACTGTTTTTATTTCAAAAAGAATAAGTGTAAATGATTACCCTGATAAAGTCATATTCTCTTAATTCTTGTAGTACCATTCAGCAATGTCATATTTCTAACATGTAGAAAAAAGTTGTATCGACGATTTGTTACCAGTAATCTAAGTCAAATTATGTATTATGCTGCTTAGATAAAATGTTTCTTACTTTCACATAACTGGCATTTTTGTTTTGTTTCAGAGATGGTGAACTGTGTTTGAGTCGATCACTTGTCAATAGTTCTGATAAAATCATTCGAAAGGCTGGCTCTTCAATCTTCCAGCACTCTGTAGAAGGTTGGAAAATCAATTCCTCTTTGGTGCTGGAAATAAGGTGGGTTTCTTTAATAAGCCATAATAAATTTCACATCATGTTCTTGAATACATTGGGCTTGGCAAACTTATATTGAATGCTTGATTTATAGTTTAAGTATGAATACTTTAATAAAAGAGTGAACCAGCTCTACTTAATGTTGATCAATGAAGGATATGAAGCCATAAAACTGAAATCATTATGCAGTCAGAAATTTAAGGATGAATGTGTGAGTTTTGAATATACTGTCTCTATTCTAATGGAATAAAATATTCAACAGAATACTAATATTTAATAGGCTTTTCTTTTTTTTATTCTATTAGTCAGGGTGGACATATATTTTGAAACCTACCTTTAACTTCCTTACAAGTTTTTCCCTATCTTGTGTTTTTGCACACTGGATGAAAGGACAGCCTATTCAATTCCTATTTTGCTGACTATTATAAGTAAATTTGCTTTACCCTATGAATAGATATTTCTATGTGAGCCCCTGTAATAAGAGTCTCAATGATTATATCCTAAATTGGCAAAAGTCAGAAAGTACATTTTCTAGAGTACTGGTTTATTCTTTACTCTTTATTCTTTATAAGATTTTGGCATTTTACCTGAAACAAGCTCATGAAATCAATCTCAGTGCCTGCATATATTATATCTTATTTTCTTCTAGTATAATCCTATAACTAATAAGAAGTTTAGGGCCAGACCTTCCTAAGCATGGAGGAAGCAAGCAGATCATGTTTCTTTACAACTACATAGCTATATTGGTTGGTATGTTTAAATCAGAGCATTTCAGTAAATCAAACTTGTTTTAAAAGTTTCAAAGAAATATCCTTTACATGATAAAATAATTGCATTTTTATATTGGCAAAATGCTGATTATTCAATGATTGGATATTCCTGCACAGATTTTGTAAGACTAGGTTAGTGGTTAAGAGGATAAGCCATTGATCTGTTTGTTGGGTTTCTATCTATTTGCTTCTTGGATCATACCAACATATAATATAGATTATGACCAACTTGAAAGAAGAGTCTACTACACTCATCTGTAGAGTATGCATAACAATTCTTAAAATGAGTTGTAGCAAAGACACTACATGTTTAAATATACTTGGAAGATTGTCTGGAAATTTGTTTAAAAGATGGGTGCCAGGGAAATGTAGGATCATTAGACTACTTTGCTTGAAGCTTTGGAAGTATAAGGAGAGGGAAACAGAAATCAAATCACGGCAATATCAAATAGTGTATGCTTGGTTGCTTTTAGTTTAGGGGAAGTTTTGTATATTTGTGGGCAGAGAATAAGAATGAGGAGACGAGTAGAATCTGATGACAGTTTATAAATTGGTGTCTTCTGGGTAGAATATGGTCAGCAAGCAAGATTTATTTCAACTGTATAAATAAAAACCCTCAAAACCAATATTAAAATTAGCAGATTCCTTATAAAAGCACAGATTTTTGTATACTCTGGAGAAAAAGAAAATTTGGATGACTCTGGGCCTGTATTCCTCCTGAGAACTAGTTATCTGAGGCCAACTGTAGCCGTGATCTCTGCAGTTCAACATTTTTACACCTGGGGTTCATTTCTTTATTGATACATATCTAGTATCTTCCTCACTATCTCACACCCCTATACACACATTTAAATTAAAAACCCTGAAAGAGATAATTATATGAGGAAAAAGCAACAGAATACGGGACTACATAGGGTCATAAATACAGGTGTGTTTTAGTTTAGAACAGAATAAGGATTACTACTTCTTGGAAGTAGATTGGGAAAACAGAAATATGGGTGATTTAAAAAGGAAATATTTAACCTATAGGTGTCTCAAAAAGAACTCTCAAACTGAAAGATTGGGCAAGAAGGGGGCCAATTAGGTAAGGATATACAGATCAAGTAAAGAAAAGTAGTGGAAGAAAGTAAAGTAAAATATGAAATTTTAATAGTTTAATGTATCTAAGTATGCTAAATAACATATCAGATAAGGTAAAGTCTAATAAGTAAATTCAATAAGTAATTAGCAATAGTTTAATTAGTATATGTGGCCATGCCTTTCTAGTATCTATACAAAAATGAATACTATAGATCCCCATGAGGATACAGAGATACATTTTGCCATTTTTAAGATATTCAAACTAAGGGTATTAACCATAAATTGAGTGAAGAAATTCATTATTATAATTTTACAGTTTAATGAAGATTATGTTCATATCTTTGAAGGTGATTAATCTGTTTTCAGTTATAACAGATGATAATATGTATGAAATGTTAGTACTCTTTTCATATGATTCTCCGTAACAGATAAAGAAGTAAACAATAAAACATTGAGCAAATATTGAATAATACATACAAAGTTGTCACTTCCTTACAAGGAAATAATCTGTAAAACCATTATTGTACAACATGCAAACAGTTCATAAAAATTATAATTGCCTATAGTAGTAGTAACTAGTGAGTATTAATCAGTTTGACACCTGTAATAAAAAATTCAGACTATGAAAATGTCTGATTGTTAGCTGAGTTTTTGTTTTTCTTAAGTCGTACAAGAAACTAACCATAAACTATTTTGGATTATTAAATTTCTTTATTTCTTCCCTGCATGTATAACATTTATGAAGAACCATATTACTTGGTGTCTGTGAGTGGGTATGGACATATTTTACAAGTGTTTTTAAAATTCTACTTTGAAGTTTTGATTAGGATATTACAACTAATCATTTTTGATCTTACATGATTAAACCATGCTTACAAATCTTTCTAACTTTAAAAATCTCATTACATTTATAATGCTCTTGTGACATTCCCTATAAATTATTTATCTATTTGCATTAACATGTGAAGCAGTCACTAAAGATAAATTGTTTTTGCCTACATTAGTAGACATGATTTTCTTTCTTATTACTATTTTTTCCAGCCGTATATATATATACATATATGTATATATATATATATATTCTGCTACTTTCATAAGCACATCAAGAATTGATTTATATATGTTCATCAAACAACTGTACCTCTGGGGAGTTTTCTAAGAGAGATGTCTCCACCTTCATTGTACTTTGAAAATTCATCAATATTTAGAAGAATTTATACATTCCACAGCTAATTTCACAATTAAAATAATTACTTTGGTTAAGGACTTGATTTCATTGGTAGTTGTTTGTTATTAGTGTAAGCCAAGAAATGATACATTTAGGATACGTCAGGTGTTTGTGAGTAAATCCATAAACATTGTACTGAGAGATTATTTGATCATGTCCGACACTGATGACTTGACCTTTTTTTACATCTTTGGGTTGTTTGTTTTTCCCCTCATTTTTCATAGGTTAAATAGAAACCTAAAGAATTACAATACCAAATGTGGACATATAGAGAGGTACAAGGTCAGCAACTTATCGGGAAAGATTAAAAACATCATGATTAGTTTGAAATAATATTTTCAACTCAGCATTGTCATGCATCAAAGTTTTTAAAAAGGTCAAGCTTGCAGGTTAACTAAACATAATTGCACATTTATATATGCTTACCTATCAAAAATAATTCACTGTTGCATGCATTCATTTACTTTAGAGCAAAGTCCACATAAAATTCTTCTACATACTTTGTTCAGTAATTAACCAGAGGAGCGCATTTTGGGTCACACACTTGTTTGTTGCTCAAACTTCAAAGTCAGTTCTGTCCAACTGGTACCAGATCTCTTATTATGAAAACAATTTGGGGGGGGGCTCTATTTTCATACTAAAAATGTAGTCTTTATGGAATACACATAGTGGAGGGTTCTTTTGCTCCAAAATAATAAAATATATTATTCATCCATATTGCTAAATGCTGTGCCAAATAATCAAATGACCATCTGAGGTGTAAATTAAGCTAAAAAATGCTTTTCTTCAAGCATTTTGAGACAATTTTGCCTGGCTGTGGAGGATTTTTCTTTGATGCTAGAATATCTTTCTGTATCAGTTGGGACCCTAAGCTCAGAAGTCCTATAACAAGCTAATTATGTTCTTTCAGTGCTTTGACAAACATTGCCTTGTGAAAATAATCTTTGAGACAAAAATTTGTGTGTTCTCTCTGCATTTTTGTAGGCATAATGAAACACTTGGCATTTCTTAAATCTTTTAATTTTTTTAATAAACCACATTAGTAACAATTGATTCAATTCAGTGATTTTTGGTTAAAGTCAAAAGTTTACAAAAACTGATTCTTTTTATAACCTAATTTGCTTCTCAACTTGTGATGCGTTCCAGCTGTAAGATTTGTCTTAACAATACTCTCTGATGGAGTCAACAGTGTCATTTAGATTAAATTTTAGTTGCCACAGCACGTATGCTTGTTGTTGACAAGAAACCTACAGAAAAGAAAGAGTGGCACCTGGTGATAGGTTAGCTATATTTAACATTACACAAGTGAAAACAATGTTTAGTAAATTAACTCTCTGGAACTCTGCAGCTGCTATTTCAAGTGATGTGTGTTGTTGAAAGGGAAGTTCTAGTTGAAAATTCAGTTGAAAAGTTTCTGTATAGAATCTATTCCTGTCAGTTTAACAGTCTCAACCAGCCTTTCAGTTTAACCCAGGATTGCCTAACAAAACATAATCTTTATGACTAAGATTTTTAGTCTCACTGAAAGCGAAACATATTTTCAGACTCCTTCAGTTATCTTTATCATCAAAACAGTTACTGAATTTAGGTTTTTGCTTCAAAAGTTGCATTATGGCCACAAAACGACAGTTGAAGACCTGTCAGGAATCTTTTCTGTTGTTGTTGTTTTCAGTCACACACAGAAAACATGACCCCTTGCTTTAAGTATCTGGTAATAACTTGACCACATATTAAGAAAAAGTATTAGAAATAATTTGTCTCTCTCATGCTGAAATCATTTTGTTGAATCTGCTGTTTTCATGCATGTCAATTATCTGAGCAAAAGCATGTATGTTCTTAGTGATAAAGTGTTGTTTCAGTGTAGCATAAGAATTTTTCATGTTTCCAATGGCATTTAGTTAATTATACTTAGGCATTAGTTTTTTTTTCTTTTTCTTCAGAGATTTACAGTCTGAATAACAACTAGATTTAGCAAATCTACAGAACTTTTTATAGTCCATTACATCTATAATCCAAAAAAAAAAAAAAAATGCCTATAGCTTGCTACGGAGAAAAACATAACCTTTCCATACTGTTTGCAAAAAAAAAAAAAAAAGAAGTTATTAAGCATTGAAGTCACAATATTATTCACTCATAATAATTATTTTCATTTTTTCTTGGATCCTACACCAGGAGTCTGAGCTAAAATAATGTTCCATGCATAGATGTAAGCCCTAAAATAGAAAAGTTTAGTTCAATATTAGAAAAAGGACATACTGCAGACATTCAAGGTTTCCTTTCCCCCTTTTTCCAGTTTAAAAAAAGCAAATAAGGACACCTGGGTGGCTCAGTCGTTTACCTCCCACTCTTGATTTCGGGTTGGTTCATGATCTCACGGTTAGTGAGTTCGATCCCCACATTGGGCTCTGTGCTGTTAGCACGGAGCCTGCTTGGGATTCTGTCTTCCCTCTCTCTCTCTGTGCCTTGTGTGCATGCTCTGTCTCTTTCTTTCAAAATAAATAAGTAAACATGGGGCGCCTGGGTAAATCAGTCTGTTAAGTGTTGTACTTTGGCTCCGATTGTACTTTGGCTCAGGTCACATCTCGCAATTCATGGTTTTCAGCCTCTGCGTAGGGTCTGTACTGACAGCACAGAGCCTGCTTCAGATTCTCTCTCTGCCCCTCACTTCCTCCCTCTCCCTCTCTCTCTCTCAAAAATAAATAAACATTAAGAAAAAGAAAATAAATAAATAAACATTAAAAAAATACAATGAATAACAAGACAAATACTATACTAACAAAATAAACAATTGTTCAGCCTATACAAGAGCATTGGAAGAACACATAGTATTATCTGCATTTAATAATTATGTCATGTATCTCAAGTGTTAGACAATGTGTTACCTTTTGAAATTTCTCTGAACTCTTATTGTTCGTTTTTAATATCAATTTTCCCTAAGAGTGAACAAATTAAAGATGTTCTGTTATACTGAGGAATGTAAAAGACCTGTGTTTAAAATATTTTGCAGTGCTCGGGGTTGGGCTGGCTGGAAACGCGTATTGAGCTTTTCTGTGTATGTAGCAAACTGTGTCCAAATACAGTAGCTTTGTGCCCTGAAAAAAAAGTAAAGAATAAAACATATTGCTGCGAAGTCTCTATAACACAGCAACGGTGCTGTTAATTGGAAAGTCCCCATCAGTTGACAAGAACGTAAGTGGTAACTTTTTTCTTGAGTAAAGGGATTTTGCTTTTTGGATTTCCCAGTTAAAGAGTCTTCTTTCAAATCTTGTTCTCTGGTCTATTTACCTCACAGTTGCAAACACTTCACCACTTGTGAGTTACATCTTCAAATATCTACAACAACCCCTTTAAATTATCTTCAAAGGAAAATGATAATCTAGTTTGGTGATTTGACCACATCCGTGCAGTTTTTATTTTAGAGCCAGCCTTGTCATTTTCACAGGAAATGAGAATTTTTTTTTTTGAAATACAGGTGTCAGGCATTACTAAAACTTTTCTCTAAACAAACAAATGTCAGTAAGTACGTACAAAAGTTTCTATGGATTGCTGTTCTTGGTGATAGTTAACTTTTGTGAAGAATTATATGTTCTTAACATAATGAAAGACTTCTTAATTTTCTGTAATTCATATACCCTATAGTTGCTGATTTCACTAGCAATTGTCTTCACATATAATCTGTACTTAGTTAAGATGAACTGTTATGGTGCTTGATAGCATTTTTATTAATTTTTAAATTTCATTTGTAGGGCATTTATAAAGGTTTTTCCTGTATAACTTCTAATTATGAACCTGATATTCTGATTGGAGCAAAAATTCAAAAAATATTTTCTTTTCCAGAGAATTAATGGTTATATCCCTTGTGTATCAAACCTGGCCAAAGTTTTCAGTCAACTGGTTTTCTAATAAGACATTAAACTGGCACCTATTTAAAGCAAACCAAAGTAAAACAAAAAGGAAGATCTGAGTTAGTTATTTTTCATCCCTCCTTGCTATTCATGCTTCTGGCTTGTGTGATACGGAGAATTGCCCTTTTGGTTGAGTAGTGGGAGGAGGTCACATTGTGCTCAGTAATAAAATTTACAAATGTGTTAGAGCTTAAACCGTAACAGCACTAAAGGAAAACATGTCTGTCATATCTTAAATGTTATAATAATGGCATTGTTTTTAGCACTCTGAGAATACAAGCTTATAATAAGAGCACTTCAGTAAATTATATCCAACTTCCAATCTTGGAGAGAGTTTCTCAGATTGCTTCTTGCTGGTATATGTTTGGTAGTTTGAGGATTAAGTGATCTCAGACGTCTGTAGGCAGGCTTATAATTTCTTTAGAAATGTAATTCCCTCAAAAACATACTAGACTCCTGGGCCATTTCCTTATAGTTAATTCCTTGTATAAATAACCACACCCAGAGATTTCTTCTGAACAGTTCAGCCTCTGACTCTCCTCTAATTATTCTAGCTTCACCATCCTTTCCCTCAATTTCCCTCCCAAGTCATTTGAATCTATAAATTTGGTGGGAAGGCAATTACTCTTGCTCCTGGGATGGCTCTGATTTATAGTTGTGTCTTTTGATAATTGGGGTATTTGAGACATTTTGGAGGTCCCAATTACTAAACTCACACAGTTTACATACAGGTCATTGCCATTTCCATCTCAGCTTGCCACTTGGCTGACTTTGTCTTAGTGCCTTGCGAAAAGGAGCAACCAACATAAAACAACATGAAACACTTTTTAACCATTTTTCCAAGAGCAACAGGCTTATTAGATATAGGATATAACTCCCAGGTTACCGCAGATAAGAGTTTTGATTATATCAAAAGCCAGCTATACTTTTATTTTTTTATCGTCTAACTTAGCATATACATATTTGTTTATACAGCACCTTTGAATCCGTTATAAATTTCTTTATTTGGTATGGAATAGGCTAAGCTTCCATAATACAAAAGAGAAACCTTAAAATACAGTGGATCAAACAAGTTGAGATTTTATTTCTCTCTTGTATAGCCACGCACATGATCCACCCGTATCCCATGTAAGAAAACTAACTCACATGACCAAACCCATCTGCACTTGGGTTTGTAAACTTGGAAATGTTTTAGCTGAGGATTCTTATGCCTGAGCAAAACTTAGAAAATTCAAATACTAAAAGCAAGATAGCAAGGAAGATCACTAAGGAACTATTAGCTATCTCTGCCATGCATAGTGAGGTATTTTATCTATCCATTTTTTTTTCCTCTAATGTACCCATCTTTCTTCCTGGATTCTTGAAAGAAAACTTCCATACAGTGTAGTTTTAACCCTTCTACAAATAATTATATACATGATTTGAGTTAATGTATAGGTTTATTGGGAAGTTTAATCCTTTTAATAGAATTAAGTAAGGTATAATTCCAAACCATTTTAAGTTATTTCTATTTACCTTAACTACAGAACACAAAACAAAACAATATGACTATAGAAAATTAACTAAATCTAGCAGAATATCTAGTTAGGCAAAGTCAAGTCACAGCATTTTTGTTTTATTTAATAAAATGTTCTTTTTGGCCTTTTTCAAATTTTTATTTAAATTCTAGTTAACATATAGTGTAATATAGGTTTCAGGAGTAGAATTTAGTGATTCATCACTTACATGTAACACCCAGTACTCATCCCAACAAGTGGCCTCCTTAATACCCATCACCCATTTAGCCAATCACCCACCTACCTTTATTCCAGCAACCCTCAGTTTGTTTTCTATAGTTAAAAAAGAGCCTCTTATGGTTTACCTCCCTCTCTTTTCTTGTTTCCATCCCCCCATGTTCATCTGTTTTGTTTCTTAAATTCCACATATGAGTGAAATCATACGGTATTTGTATTTCTTTGACTGACTTGCTTCGCTTAGCGTTATACACTGTAGTTCCAACCACATTGTTGCCAATGGCAAGATTTCATTCTTTTTGATGGCTGAGTAATATTCCATTGCATATAAGTGCCGCATCTTCGTTATCCATTCATCAATTGAGGGACATTTGAGCTCTTTCCATAATTTGGCTATTGTTGATAATGCTGCTATAGACATTTTGGGGTACATGTGTCCCTTCAAATTAGTATTTTTGTATCCTTTAGGTAAAACCTAGTTGTGCAATTGCTGGATTATAGGGTAGTTGTATTTTTAACTTTCTGAGGAAACTCCCTTTTGTTTCCCAGAGTGCCTGCAGCAGAATAAATTATTTTTTCTATATCTTTTGATAGATGGGGACCTTTTTTCACTCTACAAATAGATGTGTATACTATATTTATTTGACAAATCATTGAGAATGTATGTGCAAATGATTTTTTAAGGATGAATTCAATTTCAATAGAATTCACTTATTTGGTTGCTTTAATTACCACCTGACAATTTAAGATTAGTAATTTACCAATTTATATTTTATTACCTGTTACTTTGTGCATATCACCAGTTCTCGGCTATGTTGTCATTAATGGAAAACTTTGTATTTCACATATAGGAAGAACATTCTTCGTTTCCTAGATGCAGAACGAGATGTCTCAGTGGTCAAGAGCAGTTTTAAGCCTGGTGATGTCATACACTATGTACTCGACAGGCGTCGGACACTAAATATTTCTCAGGATCTTCACAGCCTCCTACCTGAAGTGTCACCAATGAAAAATCGCAGATTTAAGACCTGTGCAGTTGTTGGAAATTCTGGCATTCTGCTCGATAGTGAATGTGGAAAGGAGATTGACAGTCACAACTTTGTAATAAGGTGAGCTTTCTTTTGTTCCTAAAGATTGTAATTTCTTCAAAGATGTTTTACTAAGGAATAGAAAACTGACAGAAGAGTGTAAGTCTAGTATCGATATTAAGGATTATTGAAAAATCAAACAAATATTTATGTATGCTATGTTTTTCTGCATAGTTTCCAAATTTACATTTACCCTGGAAAATGAAGTTAAAATTATTGTGTCATTGAAAGAAAAGGTGATCTTATTGTAGCAGTAAGTGTCACACCAGCTTTTTTTTTTTGCCAGTTGACAATTTTATTAGATTTAATACACAGAAACTGACTTTCATTAATCGTTTTTCTTGATATCAATTAATTTAATGTTAATTAATTAACTCACTAATATAAATAATAGTTAATTATTGGTTAGTCATTAATTTTATAATCCTTTTTATATATAAGAAATTATATTTATTTATTCATAAAGATTATGAACATCTATGTAATGATGTAATAGATGTAAGTAATTTTACCCTTATAATAACAATTATTTAGCAGATTCTAAGAACATAACAAGTTTATAAAGCAAATTTTCAAAAAGTACATAAGCAAGGTTACATTTGATATCTTTCACCAAATTGCCTTCATTATAGTACTCTATATATTTGTGTATGTTAGTATGGTTTAGTTTTTGAGTTTTCTCACATAATCAAACATCCCTGTTTTTCACTGATGGTGAGCAGATGTTTGATGAGTCATGTGTTTGGTTAACCTTAGGTGAAACAAACAGCCATAGAAATGGGATTGTGATGACGTCATAGGTACTGGTTTTTAATTTCCAGTTCATGCATCTGAACATATTTGTTGGCTTGTTTTAGTTCTTCAGAAAAAATTTTCTGAATGAATGAAGTATGTATGTTTAAATATGAAATAGCTCAATGTCAAGATAGGAAAGCATACCAATTTGCTATGTGGAAAACCTAAAGTTATGCTGGAATTCAGCCTGTAAAAGTATAGATTTTGAAAGATAAAAGTATAGATATTTCTTTGAAGTATAGCCTTAAAAATAAATATAATTATATAAGTATTAATCATAAATTGGCAGCAATGTTTTCATAAAGTAATAATGGCCATGAAAAATCATAATAGCACACTATCAGGTGAATACATTTCATAACAATGAATAGAACTACAAACATTTTACTTTATTATCTTTTTCTCAATTGGATGCATGGTCAAAGATTGATTGGATTGAGGGGGAGAAAAAACTCTGTCAACATGTAGATATACAAACAAAAATGTATCCAAAGAGGAGGTAAAAAAAAATTTAATAAGGGAAAGAAAAATTGAAAATTTAAATTGGGAAAGAAAAAGGGAAATTTAAATTGGAAGTGGAGGTAATGAGCTCCAACCACTGAAGTCTGTGTGAAGTATGGTTGTGAAGAAGAAACTAAGGCTTCTAGAATTTCTAAAGAGACTGAAAATCAGAGGACAGGAATAATAAAGAAGTAAAGATTTATAGCATTAGTGGAAATTGTTGCAATATAAAGAGAAGAATTTTCAAGTTTGGTTAATACTGGAGGAATACAGGATCACCTGTGACTGAAATCCTTGTTCTTACATCCCTCTAAGCTTTAGCACTGGGATCTATATAACTTATTAGGTTCAGCCTCACCTTTGATTAAAATTAAGACTGTTGTCTTAACACCTCTGCCAGTTCATATAATTGCCACTTCTTTCTTATAGTGAAAATGATTGAGTATTCTAGCAACTTTGAAGTCTATAGTACAGTATTGTTCACTATAATCATGGTGCTGTGCATTGTATCTCCAGAACTTTATTATCTCCTTGTTGCAAGTCACTTATTGGTTTTGAGCATTTGCAAATGGGGGAGTGATTTTAGGAACAGAACTTCATGAGGTTAATTATACTTTTCTGAGCTATGATTATTTTAATATTTATTTATTTATATATTTATTTTTGAGAGAGAGAGAGAGAGAGAGAGAGGCACAGGGAGAGAGAAAGAGCGAGAGCGAGAGCGAGAGAGAGAGAGGGAATCTTAAGTAGGCTCCACTCTCAGCATGGAGCCCGATGTGGGGCTCAATCTCAGGACCCTGAGATCATGACCTGAGTTGAATTCAAGAGTCAGATGCTTAACCAACTGAGCTGCCCAGGTGCCCCGCTATTTTATTTTTAAAACTTATTTTACAAGAGCAAAATAATGACCAATTCTATAAGCTTATAACTGTGTTATGGAGTTAGCAAGAAGTGTAAAAAAATTAGGATAATGATCTTAATGAAGGCATGAAAATTATCACTATAAGTATTTTTATTTTCTTCTCCTACCCCGAAGTTTTTACTAGTTTCCAAAAATAGAAGTTGGAATATTCTAGATAATAGTATGTACTAGGGCAATGCAGCCCTGGATTAGGTTTCTGGTTTTATAAGGAAAACTTTAGCCAAAGTCCACTTATGATTGGAAAGAAATAATCTCCGCAGGAAAACAATCTTGGTTGTGTAATAGCTGTTTGGAGAATTCATTCCTTTGAGTCTCATGGACGCAATAGTTTTCAATGACATATCACTAAACCAAACTTCAATCTTTCCTAAAGCTCTTGCCTTTCTTATGGAGTTCTGCCACATCATCTATATGCCAAATACCTTTTCCTTCTCTGAGTATATGTGTCTTTTTTTTTTTTTTTTTTTTTTTTTACTGTACATATGTTTCTTTTACTCTAGAATACCACAAAGGACTTTTGCTTTAAAACTCAATGGGAGACTCATTCCTTGAATTAGTTTTCTATCCATATCAAGCTGGTTGAAGTTGTTACAAATTTTGGTAACAATCTTTAGAATCTTTCAAATATCTCACCATCCTAGATACCTACTGCACATATGTCTGCATATCTACAGATGGTGTTGGTCATTTGGTTGCATGCATAGCTTGTGTTCCCAGGTTGTTTATTTGTTTCCCACTTTTCCTGTTAGTAAGTTTGTTAAGAGAGAGATAAATTATGCCTGGTCTGCTTGCAGAGGGCACTGATTAGTTCAGTGACTCCTCAAAGATCACATACATAGAAGTATTACGTTCAACTTAACCTCTAGCTTTATAAACCAAATATTATTTTTAGATAAAATCTTCAGTTGACATTAATTAAATTTTAAGCTTCACTTTTAGTTTTTTTCAGAAAGACTTTAAAGAAATAAAATGCTTTTTTTTGTTTAATGATGTATAAGTGTATTATTATATGGCAACGGGAATCTCTTGTTCTAAGCTGTTGTCCTATGGGGGGAGGAGGGTATATGGTGCATACACGTGGCATCATTGACCTGTGAAGTATAATTTTGGAGAATATTATTTTTTATTATTTTATTTTATTATTATTATTTTTTAACGTGTATTCATTTTTGAGAGACAGAGGTAGAGCGCAAGTTGGGGAGGGGCAGAGAGAGAGGGAGACACAGCATCCAAAGCAGGCTCCAGGCTCTGAGCGGTCAGCAAGAGCCTGATGTGGAGCTCGAACCCAGCACCCATGAGATCATGACCTGAGCCAAAGTCAGCTGCTCAACCGACCTGAGCCACCCAGGTACCCCAGAAAATGTTATTTTTAATACCTCACATAAGTATTTTAAAATTAGCCTGTGAAAAGTGACCATTTGTATGTTTGCCAGTATAGTGGTAGTTTTACATAAATACAAAGACACACACATTGTCATGCCTTTCTTGTCTTAAAAGAAATATTCCCTTAAACAAAAAAAAAAAAAAGAAAGAAAAGAAAACAAACAAACCAAAATACTCCCTTAGTGGAAGTTTGTATCATCACTTAACTAATTAAATTAAATGATGGTTTCAGTGGGATATTACACAAAGTAAAAGCCCTGGTCTATGTGATGCTTCAAGTAAAAAAAAAAAAAAAAAAAAAAAAGGAAAATCAATTAAAGCCTAGTTTGGATTCCCTAATGACTGACTAAATATGGAATTTATGTGTAAAATCTATGTCTTATATTTACATGTACTTAAATAACAGGAAAATGCACTTAAATAACAGATTCCACATATAAATGATATCATACAGTATTTGTGTTTCTCTTATTTCACTTGGTATAATACCTTCAATTTCAATCCACGTTGTCACAAATGGCAGGAAAGGAAATATTTTAATATTATTCATTACATCTACTTCTTCAGATCTAAGCACTTTGAATACTCTGGATTTGTTATCTTGAAACCATAAGAAACTATGACTTTCTCTTATGTGCCTCTGCATCCATAGAGTTGGCACAGACCAGGATCTATACAAAAGAATTCTATGGGATGTATGATTTTATCTCCAATATTTTCTTTTCCTGTCTGGGATAACTCTTCTTCTCTTCAAATAAAATCTATATCTATGGCATTTTTAAGTGAAGAGAAGTATAATTTTAGGCTTAATGATAGCTTTGTTTTATTAATTAATAAAAAGACATTCCAAATATTCAGTGGGCTACTGTTACACTGCTAACATCATTTTAAAAGATGTCTGTAGACAAAAGAAGGAAAAATATATGTGATTTTAAAATTGTGAAACACTTCTTTGTACCAGTATTTATAGAACCAGTAAATTTAGAGGTTTCCACAAATAATTCTCTAAAATTCTTCTCCATCCAGGTGCCACATTAACTATAATTCTACTCATCGAAACACATTTGTTTGGTATGATGCTAATTGTCATGTAAAATGAAAATGTGTTAAAAAGTAAACTGTAATTATTTTCTCAAAAGTATCAGTAACTTACTACATTAGTTTATTCATACAACAAACCTGTTGTGGCCAACCATGCCACTCAGGCCAGTCATGAGTGGAGCACAGTTATAGAAATGGTTACCTATACATTCCTTCTTGCATTCCTTCTGTGTGGGGTCAGAAATAATCCCTGAAATGAGACATCTCTAAACACACATGGTAAATTTAAAATATTTGTCTGTGGTCAGCTCCATTAGTTCAAGTTGTGCAGAACAATACAACATATTTGAAAGAGAATAAGGTATGCTTCCTATAGTGA